TTATATATATATATATATATATATATATATATATATATAAAAAAATAAAGGTAATGTATGTAGTCTTCTGTATTCACACTGAAGGTTTTTTAAATTCCAAATATTAAAGAAGCTTTCATTCATCCATAAGCCATTGCTTGCTGGGAAACATTCCTTTCTTGAGGCAAGAGAAAAATTTTAACTACTCTTAAGATGTACAACTATCAGAAAGACCAGATGTTGGCTCAAGTTATCTTGAAGAAACAATGTTTCTAGGGAACAGAGGCAGGATCTTGACAACATTCACTATGTAATTGTTCGATTGTTATAGGAAACTGAACTGCTTTTCGGGAAATGGAACAATTGAGGGCATTTCTAACCCCAAGATGGAAACAATCATTCCTTTAAAAGTCATTAAATGGCAATATGTAAATAGGACATATAAACCTTCCTCCCAATCTATAAACATATATTAATGTTATTATCAGAAACAGATATTTGAGATTTACATCTAGAAAGTCTTGAAGATCTGAAGAGCATGATCTATTTTGCGTCAAAGCTGACATCATCGTAAACCCAAGCTTCAAAAGAAACAGCATGGAGTAGTTTACAAAGCATGCTAACTTCTCAGAACATTACAAAGGCAATTTCACCAAACCTTTGGATCTACTACTATCTTTGTGAGAGCTATCTGATACACTACTCTCTGTATCAGAAAGAACTTTCTAAGTACAACGCACACAAAACAGTACAAGGTGAACAGTTCATGAGTTTGTTTTCAGTACACAATGGGTCAGACACATACAATCAGGAAGTAATCCAGTACTCAAGATTAAGAAACACTACATTCATTTACAAGCTGCCTCTTTAGTATAACCAACCACACAGAAAAAAAAAAGGATAACACTCAGCTAACACTTTTAGACTAAACCTTACAATATCACGTTTTGTTCCCATTAGTTCAGGTAAGAGATTAAAAGGAGAGGTAGGGTAGAGGGAAGGGAAAATGGTAGTATTTTAAAACTGGATCAAAAATGATTTGTTTGTTCATTTATATCTATTTTAAAAAGCTCAGTTTGATTTGATCACTGTTTGCTGAGTTTCCACAAATATCCAAAGGTTACACAATGTGTAACCTATGAACTTTATAAAAATGTCTTTGATTCTTTGGTATTAGGTTTGTTTTCTAGAACTAAGGCTGAAAAAGCCTTTCCAACATCATATTATGCATCTCTTTAATAAATACCAGAAATTATTAAAACTATTTCAATTCACATTTCCCTCTGCATTGTTTTCAAAATGAATATTCCTGCGTTAACCAAAATACTAGAACCTTTTGATGTTATCATGCATAAACGCTGACTGAAACAGACATGGCAAAAAAAATTATTTTCTGACAAGTGACAAGCAATGCTACCTTTAGCATCTGCAAGGGCTGTCTGGCATGATGACCGAACACCACAGAAGCAACTCAGTAACATGGAGAGTAAAGGGAACCTTAACACATTAAGGGCTTGGTTAAACAGTGTAAGGGTTATGTCCCTCGCAATGGCAAAGAGACTTCAGGTGTTGTAATGCCCTTTTGGGTTCTGTTCTCTTAGGCATGCAACAGTCAAGTGCAATAGCTTCAACATATATCAACCATGCATTCTGTTATAGCACTGTGGTCCCATACTTCATATGTTTGGAAATAAAATTGCTCCCTCTTTCAAGAGGGAAAAGTAGACAGCAAAAAAGACCATGAACTACCTTCATACTGAGGCACACATGCTTTCAGAGAAAGAGGTTACACATCTGACTTCAAGATATAGTGCCTATCTGTACAGTTATACTGTGGATGTACATACTCTTGTCACCCAAGGTCAGAGAACTTTTCCCTACAAAGATTACATTCACTTTCAACCCCCTATACGTCAAACATTGCTGATATGAAGTATGCAGTGCAAAGCATCGGATTTCTGTCCTTGCTGTAGAATCTACATGCTGCAAGGACTTCTTGGAAAAGGAAAAAAGGCAAACCCTTCCTGTGTTCACCTAATAAAAGAGCAAAGGACTCACCACACATAGGCACCAAGCAGCCTCTATAAGGAAAAGCTGAAGACAGAGAAGTTTTGGCCAGTTCCAAAGCCAATGCCAAAAATGCACACATTCCTCTTACATTTTTGTAGTTATATTTAGTGTAGCTGAGCACAGGGCAACACAGAATACATTACAGCCTCTAGAAATCCTGCAAATAGTACCTCTACTTTCTCTTTGAATACCAATGCAGATGTAACTGTTCCAAGATACAAGCTTGACTATCGTCAACTTCATCAGAATATTTCAATGCAAATTAACTTCCTTTTAAGAACAGCCCTATATATGATCTGTGCATGTGAGAGAATATGTGGAGCCTATTTCAAAACAGGTTGATAATTTTCCACCTTGCACCTTTGTTCGTCCCTGAGAAAAGGCATCAAGCTTCTGTACAGGTGTTGTGTACACTTCCAATAGCTTCTGAAGATAACCTCCAAAGTTTTTACAAATTAGTATTTTCCTACCTAATTCTTTTGGTGTCTGGATTATCAAAACAATACTGTGTAAATTCATTAACTGGCTAAAACTGAGGGATGCAAGAAATAAAACTATAAATGCAATCTTATTCTACATTAATTTTATTTTTTAAATGACCATTTAAAAATAGAAATTGTCAATTTTGCCTCAATACATGACAGATGCATCTCCTTTTTGCTAGTTTCTAATTTTCTAGCATTTGCTTTTGCAGAAAAAGTAATTTTACTTTCATCACCAAAAAACTGCAGTAGTATATAGCAATAGCTATCACACAAGCTAGAGAAAAAAAACCCACCAAACCTCTATCTTTTCTCTACTGATAACGTACAATAGGTCCTCCTTAGCATTGGAGGTAATCTCATCACACTATAATGCTCCAACCCAGACATTCTTAATGTCTCCCCTGCCTCCCACCATGGGAGACATTAAGAATGATTCAGTACAAAACAAGAGTCTGCCCTCTAGAGATTATCATTTTATTGAATACCTTGTCTGCCTTTTCAGACCTAAATGGCAGGTATTTCTTTAAAAAGCCTAAACTCCAGAAGAGGGAAATACCCACCAAAACCACACACAAACCCCCAAATACTGTTGTATTCCTCAGCATTTTGCTAGTCATTCTCTGTCTGAAGTCATACTTACACAAAAAAACAAGCAAATTAAAACCCACAACATTCCATCTGAACATTAAAAAACCAAACCTTTTTTACTGTAAGGGCAGTCAAATGCTGGCACAGGTGCCCAGAGAGGCTGTAGAGACTCCATCCTTGGAGATATTCACAACCCAGCTAGACATGGTCCTGGGCAACCTGCTCTGGCTGACCCTGATTGTGAAGGGAGGTTGGACTAGATGATCTCAAGAGGTCCCTGACAATCTCAACCATTCTGCAATTCTTTGATAACACTGAGAAAAATATAAATTGCATATTGAAAGACAGTGTATTAAAACGCTTTACTTCTGACTGTACAAAACCAAGGTTGGGAAATATTTGGTTAAAAAAACCCAAACAAAAACCCCACAGAGATGTCTGAAAAGCAGCCCTCAGTTTCAGTGACTAGGTATTTCACCTCTGTAAGAATCAAGTCATTATTTTCTCATATTTCTGCAGATTGGGAAAAAAATAGTAGGAAAGATGATTGGAAGTTGTCACTTTCAGTCCCTTTAAGTGGTTGTCTTCTGTTAACCACACTCCTCCAGAGGCCAAAGAGGGGGAAGGAGCTATCTGTGCCCTTCTGTAATAGTCAAAATACAGAGAAGCTGGACAAGCAGAACAGTCATGAATTCCTCAGAAACGCCCCAAGTTTCCCATCCCATACCAGCAAAAGCAGACATATCCCACACAATGCCCCTGCCATTTGCTAACTTCTCACAATCCACTCTAACCCTTATCATGACAAAGGTCTCACCTGAGCTTGCCCATGTAGGAACAGAAAATTAAGTCCTGCTCATCTTAAGCCAAAGAAGTGTCACAATAAGGCCTTTCAGCAATAAGCTTTCTGTCAGGGTCTGTTAAGCAAGAGAAATGCGCAGGCACAGACTCCCAGCTGCCACATGCAAGGAGGGTGGTGGCATGACCTGCAGGCCCTGGGCAGCAGCAGCTCAGAAGCAGCCAGCCAGGTCGCAGCCCTGCCCGGCAGCTGAGGTGACAGGCCTGTCAGCTGGAGGCCTCTCAGCTTCGCTGTTTTTCACAGAGTGGCACAGCTGCATCAACCTCACTTTTCTGGATGGCCCAGGAGAGGGACATTGACTCCCAGACCGGGTCTCTAGGCCATCTGACCTAAAAGAGGGACTCCCAGATGTGAACTCAAGACTGTTATCCTGAGCCTTCAAACTGACATGCATTTCATTTTAGTGTTAACTGACCGAGATCCACCAGTACTTTATGAGGAAAGACCTGAGACCCATGCCTGGTATGACTGAACCTTCACACACAGTACTCAAGCATTAAACAGAGAAAAATATAGTGTTTTCCCTGGAGACCCAGCAGAATCCCTCCTACAGCATTAGTAACAGCTTTGTCTCTAGATGAACATCAAAAATCTCAAGTGACAGAACTCACAAATATTTTCTTTCAGAGACTATTGTACAATTTTACATGTAAAGCATCCTATGAAGTTACAAAACAAAATTTGAACTGAACTATCAAAGAAAGAAGAAATAACAGGATGACATCAATGGAGCAAACCAAATAAAATTCTTGGTTTCATGCTCCATTCTAAAAGAAAAACCAAACAAACTGTTCTCAATGCACAGGTATCAAAACCACAACAAATGACAGAAGTAACAAAACCAACAAATAAGCATGCATAAATACTTTGCAGTCTACTTTGTGTCTGAAGACCTGACAAAAAGCAGCTGCATTCAGTCTTGAAAATATTCCTATAATGTAAATCAAGTATCTAACATACCAGATGCACAGCAGCAAATCTTACCAAGTAACTTCTAACTTCCAATGAAGAAGAAATTCTGTAAGATATTTTTTTTAATCAGTTCCTTTATTTCACAAAGGGTTTTTGAAGATCCTTCTAAGGGGTCTATATAGCTTCCTGAAGCTATAAATCTTAGTTCTGGCAAGATCACTATTTCTCTCAAATACTGAACATTTCAGTGCACATTTTTAATGTTTGAGAATTATTGCTATGTCATCTTTGTTAACTAACAAAGAAGAATTGAAGTACAACTACCATATGAAACATTTAAAGCGTATTTTCAGAACTCCAGACACTGTCATTGGATGCACAGGGATGAAACAAAACAAGCATACATTAAAAGTGTACTTGCAAGAAGACAAAACATATTCTGTACAAAGATTTGAACTACGGAAGAAGCATGGATATTTTTATTAATTTTTAATTTTTGTTGTACAATGCATCTTCAAGATACAGACATGTTTTAGCTACATTTGATTTTGCAGCCACCTCCACTCTTTAAGACCCTATTCCCATCTCCATAACATAATCATCTTGGATAAGTGGAAAAAAAAATTTCTCCTGAAAGTGTTAGCTTTTAACAGTCCTGATGTTATACTAGCCCTTTGTTAAATACCACAGGCACAGTTTTCAGTATACCTTTGCTATATTTTTCCTAATTAATAACAAGACTTACAGAACAGGAGAACTCCATACAAGTTGATAATTTTAAAATCTTAACAGTTCTGAATATCACTTTATTGATTCTTATAATCTTTCCACATTTCAACTTACCTCAGATCCTGGGGAAATCTGACTTTGGCCTGGCTGATTCTGAAGGAGACCAGTATCTCTCTTTGGCACAGAATCCACTGCACTGTCATCCTGTTGTGATACAACCATTTCCATGGTCATCTGTCTAAAAGTAAGTACATACACATCTAAATAATGCAGTACAGGAAGGTATATCAAGCACTTAGGGAGAAAATAGTAGTTCCACACTATTTTATATTTGGAGCAGACAACTAATAGGAAATAAACAGATTTCTCTCAAAACTATCAGGTGAACTAAGTCCTTCCTTCCCATTTCCCCATATTAAAAATATTCATTCGTATAGCCAGGAGCTCTAAAACAAGTACTTTGAAAAACTGCAAGGAGGGGCAGTTCTGGAAATGGTTCTCAGGGGAGGGACAAGCACAGAGTCCTGGGGTCCTGTGCAGTGTTGACAGCGGGGCTGGGCATGCAGCCCTCCAGAGCGACCCGCCAGCGCTGCCCCACAGCAGGCCCCTCGTGCCTCACGTCTCCTACTGGACAAGGCTCAAGATGACCAACAGACGTGTGCTGCTACAGCCCCCTGGAACTTCCTGAGATACTAACCCCCAGCTGGGATCTGCACTTGAATTGTCTGTAAACTACTCGCAGCTCGAGACCCACAACGATTCTACTCGTTTTGCAGGTTTAAAAGTAGTGTAAATTTCATAGAGGAGTAAGCAACAACCTGATCCTCAATTTAAACTATGAGTTTAAACTCCATAGAGAAAACTTCCAAATATATCTGCTATATAAAAATGCAATTACCTGACACCTGCTTTTCTGTATCTCTTGGCATGCTTAGTCATAATGGAAGGTGCAGGTATTAAAACAAGAGCTCGGCTCTCTTTGGCTCCCTTTCCTACCAAACCCTGCACTGAAGGTGCAACACTGAACAGGTCGTCACAAACACTGCCATGGTAACAGGACAGTTAACAGAACAGAGACAGGATAGGGTCAGGCAGAGGCAGGCAGGATGCCCTATGGGTATGCTCCCCTCTACACCTTACTTACACAAGGAATTGAGGCTGGAAAAGCAAGACATGATTGCGGTTGTGGGATTTAAGACGCAGCAAATCTCACTTCTTGGGTTCAGTTACCGTGACTAGGGGATGGCAAGCCTGTCTGAACTCGAAGTTCAACTATTTCAACTGGTTGATAGTTAACTGTAGTTTCTTCTCATGTCTTACACTTAGAGAGGAATAAGAGGTAGTCTGCTACATGTCTGACTCTGAGGCTTCTGAATTTAGTCCCACATGTTAAAAGTTAACTACATGAAATCAAATTAAATGTAAACCCAACTCCTTCTGCAGCACTACTTTACAGAATATTCCACAATATTTGAGAATAAATAATTTTAAATAACCAAATCACCCTTTTTACCTAGAATAAAGGCATGAAAACATGAAAAGAACCCCAGTCAAATGATACAGAGAAGCATATTTCTATTTTCTATTCCTCCAAGGGTATTCTACTGACCAGACTTAACAGTAATACTGCTAGTGGTAGCCAAGCTGTACACATCTTAAGATTTTATGGGTTAACATTAGTCATTCTGCCAATAGAAGTTACATACAACATGCCAGTATCAATTCATATTAGATTCATAAGGAGACATTTTACACCTAAAATCTTTCTACGTTCCAGTCTTATTACTTACCACTAATTACTGTTTTCTCTAGATATAACCTAATAAAGGATCTTCTGAAATTCACCAAAAGTGACCATGTCCAAGGAGAATGTTTTCACCAAGCTTGCCACCATAACTTTCATCTTATTAAACCACTCCAGTTTTATATAGGCATTCATCATTATAATAATAATAATAAAGTAGGGGGAAAATGTTCCTCCTTAGTAAACTAGGACCATCCATAGAGTCTCAAACATGAAAACTCTGATTCATGTAAGAATGCCTCCATAAGTTTCAGACTAGCTCACACACCAAGGCAGATTAAATAACAGGTAGGTACTGGCAACATATTAATTGCAATCTCTTCCTAAAGACGGAAAATATAGTCAGAATTAATTCACTTTATACAGGCCCTGAAGTATTTTCTTATCCAAAGCCATCTGTCACAGACAACCTACTGCTGGAAAAAAAACACAAGTACTTTTATTCCCACTGAATGCATTCCATAGAAGTTTTACCTGGAAAAAAGCCACTTTTAATGTTGTGAAAAAATAGTTTACTTTCTAAACTTTAACTTAATTTTTCACTGATTGCAGATCACTATGAAATTGTTTATTTTTACGACTTTATCAGGATTTTTCTCCCCAAAGTCTTTTCATCTGCTGTGCTCCAGGAACTGAGTTAGCAAATAGCTATGAAAAGAGCATCAGCACAACAGAAAATCTAACAAAAAGTTATTACTAGTATTTTACAAAACATAGTAGAAAGGACTGTATTATTTAATTATCTATGTTAAATAAGAACAACAAGTATTATACATGCCAGTGAAATGACAAATACAGTTAAGACTTGACATACATAAACTCAAGAATTTAAATAGATTTTTCCATCTATAATTGTGTATAATGGTGTATATGCGACAGCACATATTATTTTCTATTTTAAATCTTTAGCAGTGGAACAAAATCTGAAAGTTTGTATACTGTTTTTAATTAGCTTTTTTTGACTGCCATAAAATGCAACTGTCACCCTAGAACACAGGAAAATACTCTTTCTAAATAAGCTAAAACCCACCTTTTTTGACAATCTGATAATTCTAGTATGTTTGTAAACAGTGACTTGACTAAAAATGCTGTCCAAATATAAAGACCTAACTATAGCCTACAAGACTGAAACAAAAGTAACAAAGGACATAAGTAATTTTAAAAGATACACTAGGTACCTTGGCATAAAACTTCAATGAGAAAGGTGACTAAAGACAAAATGCAGCACATTAGTATCATCATTCAGACATGTTACAAGACTATAAATTTTTGGTAGACACAAACATAGGGGATTACTAAATTTACAGGTGAAGGTCAGTTGCAGTCATTTGAGCCCACAGGGTTAGAAATGTGATAGCTACACAGGGCCACATCACTTCACGTGGGCTTGAGCTAAGGAACTCGTGAACTTCACAGTCCAGTCCAGGTTTTCACCATCTTTAGTATATTCTGAAGCTCTCAGATTCCTATAACCTTAGCTGCACAGGTTTTCTATGTTCTGTATTATATATCATTTTACCATGAATAAATCATACTGTTTTTAACGAGCTACAAAAACCCCACAGAGCAAGATCCTAACTAAGGTGTTTGGGGCTTTGGGGGGTTTTGTTTCTTTGCTTGTGTTTTTTTGGTTTTTTTTTTAAACATCAGTAGTGTGGTCTGTAGTAAGAAAATTAATCCAATCCAGAAACTACCAACATAAAGATTTCACATTTATTACACTAAATCAGTCTAAAGCACAAAGTCTAACATATTTGTTGCTTTTGTTTCAAAGTAAGAAAGAAGAAAAATCTTCTGCCAAGCACTTAAAATCCTTTATAAAAGTGTATCAGTAGTAGTACACATCACACTTTGAAGTTTACATTACCATCCTCCTATTTTAAAGGAAACCCAAGCAAACAGTTTTATATATGGTCTTAGATCCTGTTTAAAATTGTATAACGTTTTTCTTCATTGTATGATTAATTATATACAAGCTTTTTAGTCTTATATTCAAGTATTAATACATTCACTTCTTACATTTTCCACCTTGTTGCTTGCTATCACTGAAGAGTAATTTTAAATATTAGTCTAAATTTTTTAATTTATAAACAAGTCATACCTCTCCCCTCCCATAAAAAAAGAGGGAAAAAATGTCTTTCTATAACATAGGCAAAGATACCGGTTCTTCCTACAAAACAGCAAAGAAATCTTCAGGATCTGGCAGAAGGTTTAACTGTTAACTAGCTAGTAGCATTTCAATATATATTAGTATGCATTTACTACAATCACTAAGACTAACATACAGTAGGTCAGTACCAGGTAAACAATGATTAAGATGTATACAGTGCACATTAACAGCTTCTTGAACTGATAGCAGCAGGATCCCTGATGGGACAATACTGACAGTAGCAGCTAACAGAAAACATTGCCCTGGTGACCTAGAAAACTGGAAATTATTTACAGCTGAAAGTGTGAACCTTTTATATTTTTGTCTATAGGTGAAAGGTGAAGGATCCCTCTCAAGATGTGTGCTTGTGTAATAAAGAGCACAAAAAATCCTTTCACTCCTCCCCAATACTGTTGTTTTACAATTACATCATTGACTATTAATATAAATATTTGTCTGTTGGTGAAATTAAACTGCATAGGCAAATCAGTACACTACTGTGCATAACTGGAAACCTGTGACTGTCTGATTAAATACCCAGAGACATTTTAAAGCCAACTTCTTTATTTCAACAATACTTTATACATCAGAGACTGTTTACAGAGATGACTTATTACAAAGGAAATTGAAAGGGGCTAAGAAATATTTCAGCCCTTGCTTCAAATATCTTTACAGCTTTCATTCACAGGGAAGTTACTAAAGCAAGGATGTGAATTTGCAGACACCTATTTTATTTATTGATGACCGCACAGTGAGCGTGGAAACTCTCAGAATGCACTAGTTTCAGAAGGGCATTGTGTTTTCAAGCATTAAGTCTATAATCTGTTTTACTACCCTGCTTTGTGAAGCACACCAGCTGTCAAGGTGGTCACAGCAGTCAGATAAAATGAGCAACAGCACAACAGACCAGAATCTGAAAGTACAATCCTTCTGTTAAGTTTTCAGTATCAGCACAATACTAAGTTTCTCGTGTCTCCTAAACTCTAGTGTGTTTCCTCGCATTCTTCCTCATCTTTTTCTTCACAGAATATCTTAACAAAACCCTAAAAAAAAGAAATGTAAAAACCCAACCTGCCATTACTGTAAGCACAAGCATGTTACCCATCACTATGCATCTGCGACCTCGATAAATCTGACAAGACAGTACTGTCCGCTGTGAAGACACACGGTCCCCGTTTAAAGATGTCCAACCAGCCTCTCCATGTCAGAGGATCATTTAAGTGTCAATACCTGCGTAATCGTTTAACTACACCAAGCAAGATGCTGACACGGCAGTAGTGGATGCAGACAAAACCCCTCAAACTTTAAGCAAGATCTAGGGCTCGAGAAGGCCACTGTGATCCTCTCCCACCAGTTTTCCTGTCCCAGCTTGGAAAACTCTATGGGCAAGGACATAATCAGGCGTAATGGCCTTCGGGGAAAAACCCGCCTGGCACCCGCCCCCGGTCGCGCTCTCCCCTCCGCCAGGGCACCCCGCCGGCAGCCGAGGCCGCACCTCGGAGGCCCCAAGGACCTGCCGTCCCGGGGCCCTCTGATCGCAGCAGGGAGGCACGCTGCCCCGTCCCCTCCCTCGCCGGACAGCCTACAGCCCAGTCGAGCCGGTCTCCCTCCCGAGCCTCGCCCCGGAGGAAGGGTCCGAGCCGCAGCCTGCCAGGGCCCGGCGGGCACCCCGGCCACCGGGCGGTAACGGAGCGGAGCAAGTGCTCCGCACGCCCCCCTTCCCGGAGATGTACCGGGGTTGCCCTACAGGGCCGTGTCGGGCGAGGGAGGCGGGC